GAAGTATCTTCCTGGCCTCGACCGTTATTTTTATCTTGGTGACAAAAAGCAAAAGAAAATGACTCCTACTGTCAGGCTACCTTTCTTCTCTCCATTAAAAAATCCTTAGAATGAGCATTTCCTTTAACTAGAGAATCTTACCATTAGTAAGTCATAACGGTTTACTCATGAGGATTTACAGTCCCAAGATATAGTGGCAACTGAGTTTTGGAGCTAAATGGAACGATCCTTTCTTTACGTTAGTGTGGAATGAAGAGGCTGGTTAGGGTCTTTGCTTTGATACTGGAGAAAAAAGAAAGAGTAAAGTCTCAGCACTCTCAGAGGCTCAGGCATTGCCAAGTAATCCCGGGTCTCCATGAGGAGTGCATCTGTGATGTGATGCTCTTTTCACATGGGATGCTCAGGCTTCACTCCGGATCTGTGGCCAGTCACTTGCCATTCCTGACAACATTCATGAGGTCAAGAACAAAGCAAAATTGCACACAGCACCTTAGGACAAACTGGGCCCTTCAGAAATAAGAATCTATCCATGCATCAAGGAGAACTTGATCCTCACCTTCATCATAAAATGTTGTGTCTTTGACATCTGATTGAGGGATGAAATAACCTGCTGCTTATGGAAACTAGCAGTGGATTGAATTTTCATATTTTATTCCAGAGTTTTCCAGCATGATGCTTTAGGACTTGATGGACTCTTGCTGCCTAAATCATATATTTTCTATCATATTCAAGGAAATAGAATAATGCCTTTTAAGTCTCTACTACCAGAGTACGACTCAAGCCAGATGTGACACATTCATCTTTCATTTATTCTCTTGGTTGGATTTATTTCATTCACAGTGAGCTTTTAGTACTATCTCCAATAGGGCTACTTAATTTCAAGTACATAGTAGTATATAATAAAATATTTAGATTAAGTTAAAGGAATTTGTTTGGAATTAGATAAAGATGGCAGGAATATTTTCCAAATGTAGCTATTATCAGGAGTCAGAAAGGAAAGAGTATTTTCTTTCTGTGTCTGCATTTAAAATGCATTACACCTCCTTGTTTTTCATGAATGTGAGATCTGTGCATTCCTGTGCTGAGCTTCCTCAACCTGTGTCCACAGAAACATTTCCTTCTTGTGGAGAGCACAGTCCCATCACGTACAGTGCAGTATGCTAGGAAGGGAGGGGAAGGCTACCATTCTTCCTCCTTCACTGTCTTCCTGCAAGTTTCAGAATATTACACTGAATTTGCTTATTTCTGACAATGAAAGCAAAGTGGCAGCATTTCGCATGCATCTGGGAAAATGAAATTAGAAAAGAAATAGCACTTTTCAGAAAATTTAAATGTGGCCTAATTGTTTCGCTTGGGAGCTTGGAAGGAAAAAGTATGCATGATATGAATTGTTAAGTCTGCAAAACAAACTTTTTTTTCTAGATTCTAGGTTAACCTGTTTGTGATTCCCACCTCACATTTGATGTTCTTTTTTTTTCTATTTCCAACATTTGTTATATTGAATTGATTTGATGTTCTAGGATCTTCCTAGAGACTTTATGTGGGTAGGTGTTTGGGTGTTCCCTTTCTGTGAAGTAACCTATGCATCATTCATAGTCACTGAGATCATTTTAATATGTGGCTTTGATAAATATGACTTAGAATGGGTCTTTTTAAAATGTTTTCATGGACTTGTGTGTGTAAAAGTAAGTGATGACTCAAGTTACCCATACACAGTGAGACCAAAAGAGAATAGTCTCAGGAGAAAAGCACCAAATTACAATACCCAAGCACTTCTTCATTTGTATATAAAATAATAGGCATACTGAAAAGAACTCCAAATTTAAGGAAACGAAGACCTCTTCTTAATTTGTCCTATCATTTTTAGATGACTGTGTATTCTTTACCTCCTATATGGTATATACACGTACACATCTGAGGGAGGTGGGAGCAGAGGACAGAATCAGCAGAAAGCGGGTGAAAAATACAGCACAGGGGCCCACCAACTGCACTGGACATTGATGAAAGTGAACTAAGCAACTCAAGGGTGGTGATGGGAGGGAGGGAATGAGAGAGAGAGAGGGAACAGCTGATACCAAGCAAAAGGAAATAAATGTACATGTCACCTGATTTATACAAAACATAGTTTTATTGTTAAAGGTCATAGAGTTCATAAGCAATGTAGATTAAGATAATAATAATTATCATTTGTGAAAATTAAAAGGTATTTGTGACTTAAAAAAAACATAAAAAAATAAATGATGAGCCAAGTATGGTGGCCCAGACCTATAATCCTAGCTATTCAAGAGGCTGAGATCAGGAGGATCATGTCTCAAGGCAAACCCAGGCACAAAGTTGATGAGATGTCTCTCAACTAATAAAAATCTGGGTGTGGTGGTATATGATTGTCATCCTAGCTATGTAAGAAGAATAAATAGAAGGATTATGGGCCAGTCCAGACAAAAACAAGACCTTATTTGAACAAAAATAAGGAAAGCAGAAGGGGCTGGGGAATGGCTCAAGTGGTAGAGTACCTGCCTAGCAAAAGTGTCACACTGAGTCCAAATCATAATACTACCAAAAATATATGAATAAGTTAAATATAATAAATGTTGATCCCAGACCACTCCTGGCATGTGTGAGATTCATGAAGACACGAAAGGGTTAGTTGTGAAGATCTCATATTCTGGAGAAAGCTTTTGGGCCTGGACAAATGGAATAAATCTGGCAGGGACTGCTCCAATTTTAGAACTTAAGTTCAAAAGTTGCATGAATCTCCTTAGTCTTGGGGCAATCTAATCACTCTAGAACCAATTAAAGTTCTCATACTTACAATCCAAAATATTATAATCCAAGCCAGAAACTGAAATAAGATAACTTCTACCTTCCTATCTGACAAGAATATGTTTATAATGACCTGGAACAGTGGGCTTGAAGTTAGATTTCTCAGGCTCTTGGAATTCATTTGAGAACATAGTGGTATAGTGGGGCTGGACCCAGACCATTGGCCTCTGACCTGTGACTCCAGCAATCCAATGAAAGGTTTTCCTGGTGTGCATGTGGTCAGCCCAACCCACCTCTTCTTTTTTTCCTTATCTCTCTCTTGCAGTTCAGACTGAAGGTTTTCACTGAGGGCTGGGGATGTGGCTCAAGTGGTGGGGATGTGGTTCAAATGGTAGAGTGCTCACCTAGAAAGTTTACACCATGGGGACGTGGCCATATTGATAGTCAGGCATAGGTTTGGGGAAGATAAGAAGAGGATTCTGGGTCCTGGACATATCAAGTGAAGTTTAGAAATGAGGGGTCTCACTGGAACATGTGTACCCTTGCAGACTAAGACTCTATGTAGAGGTAGGTGCAGAATGAGAGGATTGCAGAGTAACATCTCAAATACCCTATTACTGAGCAGCTCAGAGAATGGTTTGCTCCTTTGAGGTTTTAGAACTTACTCTTCAGTTGGGGTGGTAAATCCCCCATGGGGTAGGAAACCTCATCTGGTCTGGAGTCTTTTAGTCTTTGCAAAAACGGAGGACTTCAGAAAATGGATGGGTGCTCTGCAGATGACACCAGCAAGTCTGATCCTGGGACCACCTTAGGGCTCTTAGTTCAAGGGAAAGCTAAAGTCTCTTTTCAGGAGTGTCAAATCAACTACAAATAATCTTGATAATGCATATTGAGATTGTAACTGGAAACCACCTGGGAATGATGTTGAGGATAATAAGGCTCCTGAAAATACAATTGAGATTTACACGTGTCAAGCAGGTAGCCACACAGGCTGGGTACTGATCTATTTCACGTGGTTTTGTCATAAGCTATCCTACAAGAAAAGTGTTCCTGGAGTTGGGAAAAAAGCAAGAACACCACAGCAGTTTGCGGTATCTCTAAATCAAAGTACAGAGCCATCCATTTAATTTTTTTCCTTGGTAAACAGATAGTCTCCTAATTGAAATGTGTGGAAATGTGAACATTAGGGAAACTTTTATTTGATTCTTCATTTAGACCTACCTCGATTTTTCCCAGGGCAATTCATGGGCAGAAACTTAGCTCATTTCACTTTATTTTAATGATTTTTTTTTCCTGCTGAGTGTTCAAAAATGAAATGAAAACAGAATAAGCTTTATGCTTTACAAGTCTCACTATTTTACATGGAAAGTAGAGGCAAAAGTATATCAAAGAGTTTGGAAATTTATATTTCAGTCACTTAAGTATTAGAACAAAATTTAATATAATTGCCAAGTAGTACATAAAGACTCCAGTTAGCTGTGCTCAGAAAAGAAGTAGCAAATGTTTTTGCTACTAATTCTTGTTGGAAATTCAAAAGAATTTTAAATGTTGTTAGCATGTTTCATGGAGATGTTTGTAAGCAGAATACTTTGACCTTCCTGTTGACTACAGAATCATTCACAAAATTAAGCTGATATACTCATATTTTTTATTTGACAAAACATTCATTTAAAATCTTGTCCATTGATGATTTCAATGGGGGAAACTACATGTTATTTCTTTCAGTGATGCTTTAGGGCAAGGATAATTTGTCAACAGCCTTTGCATCTCTAGGATATCTGGGAAGAGAGTAAAGTCATGCTGTAGATGTCATTTATGTCATTTTGTCCAGTGTTAATCAAATGTTCATGAACATCATATATATCTTGACAGTAATACCCAAATAAGCAGAGAATTTTTTAAAGTGTTATGCAAATGACCAATTTCTGGGGTTAAAAATTACTAAAATTAGAGTTCATATAGTCAACCATATATATTATATACATATAATTCATAATTTATTGGGCTATGAAGTGATTTTGACTTCTCATTACTCTTTTCCTTTTTGGAGGTCTGGGGAAGAGACAGAATTTACAAAATGCAAACAAGAACTTCAGGTGTAATTTAACTTTCCTGGAACAGTATATTTGATTATGAAATCCTCAGTGTAAACTTAGCCCATTTTAGTTGGTATAAAGAGTAGTTTTGTTAACTCTAAAACGCATACTTACAAATCTTTGCCTTGTTTTGTTTTATAGGTGCAAACCCGAATTACATTGATCTCATTTATGATGGTAACTATCACATTTTCTTTCTTTTTTTTTTTTGAACAATGTTTGCGTATAATGAAATATATCAACCAAAAGAAGACCTTTAAGCTCAGGCAAATATATACGTTAAGCACTACATAGGCCAAAAAAACATCTCAAAAAAAAATCATTCAGTATTGATGGCTGTTTTCCCTTGATATTTAGAGTGCCTGTAAATAGACTTTCTCTCTCAGCCTCTGTTCTTGGAAGTAGTAAATCCATTCTGCTGGAACAGACATTTTGCTTCCACAATTGGGAACTAATTACCTGTTTAAAAGCCATGACTACCAAGAAAAGGGGGTGGGGGGGTAATATCAGTTTCTGTCTATGACAGTAAACCCAATTTAGAACTATTTCTGTTATAATGAGCAGTGTGGCTCATGGAGAGGAACTTCCAAGGGAGGGCTGGCTTAAGGCCTGTCTGTACGGGCAGCTCAACTGTATCTATCACTGGGGACTTCCATTCACCTGCTTTCAATCCCTCAGCCCACAATGCCAGCTTTGCTGAAAGCTGGTTTTCCTTATAGCTGTAACTTGAGGCTGGCATAGAGCTATTTCCACCAACACTGATGGGAAGGCGAGAAGAGAGTCTGATGGTGACACAGATTCAGGACCTTAGAGGCTCACCAAGCCCTCTTTGTACTCAGAAGGAGAGTCTGTAATCCCAGCTACTTGAGAGGCAAAGATCAAGAAGATCGTGGTTCAAGGCTAGCCCAATCAGAATGTTTGAAAGACCTCCTACTAACCAATTACAGGCTGGGTGTGGTAACATGCACCTGTCATCTCAGCTAGGATCTTGTCCAGCCTAGACCAGGCAGAAAGTAAGACCATTTATAAAAACAATCAAAGCCCAAAAGACTGAAGTTGTGGCTCAAATAGTAAGTCTCTGCCTAACAAGCCCTGAGTTCAGTTCTCAGTACTGTCACAAGAACAGAAACAAAAGCAAAAGCAGTCAGTTAAGTCATAGTCCACTGCATTACTGAGAAGAGAGGTGGGCTCACCTTTGGCTAATTAGATCCATTCCTGGAGTAAGGCTCCATTTCCTTGGAAGTGAGAAGCTTAAATCCTAAAACAAAGTGAAATACTCAGGAATGTCTGAGGGAAGGAATTCAAAAGTCCAGCATACCAGCCTTTAAGTATCTTGCATCTGCTTTGCTAGTTTGACCAAATGCCAAACATGCGTTACTGGGTATAAGAACCCATTTTTAAGCCATTTCCAACAAACCACTACTATGACCCCAAAGCTACTAACTTTAGTGAAGTGAGAGGCTACATTTCAAGATGTAGCTTAAGATTGAAGAATGGTCAAAAGCCTGTTCTTTAACTTTATATCTAAATATACATACAAACACTCATCTTTCCATTGGTATCAATTCCCATGTTGAGCCTTTGGGCAAAAATGTCATGATTTTAAACTATGAAGTTTTAAATGGTTTTAATTTTGCATGAGTGAATGACTATAACATAACATAAGCAAACAAATAAATAAAATCTGTTCACATGTGAAATCAATAAGAGTTAAGATATTTACAATGAGGGCTGGGAAGGTGGCTCAGTGGTAGAGCGCTTGCCTTGCATGCCTGAGGCCCTGGGTTCGATTCCTCAGCACCAAATAAGCAAAAAGAAAAAATCTGGAAGTGGCGCTGTGGCTTAAGTGGTAGAGCGCTAGTCTTGAGCTGAAGAGCTGAGGGACAGCGCCCAGGCCCAGAGTTTAGACCCACGACCGGACTCCCCCCCCAAAAAAAGAAATTTACAATGAATGTGGTGGGGATGTGACACTTGTCATTACCAATAAAATATCAAACCAATAATAGGTGCTTTTTTCTGTTTTTTCATTCATATTCAAAGGAGCATTTTGCTAATAAAAAGATAATTTAAATTGATTGTTACCAAGGCCAACATGAGGATTCTTAGTAGAAATGTTTACCTGGGACGGAGTTAATGAGATAGCATATTCAGGATGGAAATTAAAATTGCTATACCTGTTTGAAAGTAAAAATACAGACACTGATAATCAATATTATTTGTTCTAAACTCAAGAATCTTTTATGATATTTCATATGCAATATTACTAATGAACACTTTGATCAAGACAGATTATATTTATAAACAACTTTGTTAAATGGCAATTCCTTTGCACAGCTACTTAAAGATGATAAAAAAGTTAAAATAAAATGAAAACTTTGCCTACAAAAATCAGTGTTTATTTCTATATTAATCCAGTAGACTAAAATTGATTCCCAGAGGCCTTTGAGACCAGATAAAGTGAAAATGTATCATTACGATTCTGAGTGTTGCATTGGTCTAACTTTGAGTAGTTGAAATGGGATTATTGGCAGTTCAGAACTCTTCGAAGAAGTTCCTTTTGTGGACTCCAGTGCCCTATTGATGCTTATAGCAGGTTCCATTTTAAGCATTTAACTTTTATTCAAATGAGATGTATCTGCCCTGGGCTCAGTGCTATTCATTTTAAATCTGCACTGATGTCCAGAGCTCTGCTCTCTCTGTGCTGGCTGGCCTTAGATTAGTCATTTCCTCTTTTTTATCTGGCAAACCCGCAGTCAGACTTGGTTTCCAAAGTCTCTTCTGTGATGAGTTTTAGATGATCCATTCTCCTTCACATTTGTTTTAAAGAGGCCCTGAATAAAAGAAGTAGTTTCTTGCACACAAAGAAGAATCTCTACACCAGGTTTAGAACTTGACCAACAGAACAATGATGGAAAGATCTGGGCTGAATAAAAGTTTAGCTTCATGCAATCGTGACGCTACAGTGTATTTAACTCAGCAGTGGGCCATGCTTCTCCAGATCAGCCTGGAGCTGACGATAATTTGGAATCACTGTGATCTGCCTTGTTTTGTTTTGGGTCTTACTGTGGCCTTGTATTTGTCAGTAGCTGAATGACAACTTCGTATTTCTTCTTTACTCCTTTCTCCAATTTAAGACTCAACGGCGATGATTGACATAGAGGACACCACCAACAAAAGTAATGAAATCCCTTCCACGGATGTTACTGACAAAACTGGTCGGGAACATCTTTCGGTGAGTGGATACGCAGGTGCCTCCCACAGTGGTTCTGAGCATCTCGGATGCTTCCATATGAGAGTAACTGAAGCTGCTTCCAGAAGACATTTTGCATTGTGTAGATGTAAAAAGGCCATGACATGTTAGAAGGGTTATCAGTGGAAAGATTCAAGAAAAATGATAAATGATAGGGTCTCCAACTTCCTTGTGGCAGTAATAGAGTTTGCTCTCAGGGCCTAGGTGCTGTGCCTTAGCATTTTTGCTCAAGATTGATACTCTATCCCTTGGGCAACACCTCTATTTCTAGATTTTTGGTGGATAATTGGAGCTCAGACTACAATCCTCAGTTCTCAGCCTTCTAAGTAGCTAGGATTATAGGCATGAGCCACCAGCATTCAACTCCTGTTTCTCCTTCTATGTACTTTTGTTTTTTCAATGTGAATGTGTGCCACATTAAATTGTTAGTGGTGCCTGTTCCAAATGTCAGTCAAGGTGAGCACTAGATGGAGATCAAGAAATGATGGCTTTCATTCAGAGAGCACACTTGTCTCTTCAAATCTTTATGTAAAAGTTTGAGGGTCTACTAAATGTAGGAATCCAGCAGTTATAGGAGGATATAACATAGAAATGAAACTCATATCCTCATGGAGAAGCCTATCCTTTAGCAGAGATAGACTGTAGCTGTAAGGTGGCATTTTGTGTGGTTTCTGCAGGGTTGACACACATTGGAATTGAGGGAAAGGAAACTATAGGTTTTGTGATCAACAGCTTGTCAACTGTCCTTGGCAGAAGGGCACAATGTGTATGTACAGTCATAGGAGAAGCTGGAGATTTGGTCCCAAAGTAGTCCAAGATGTTTAGCTTTGTTTCCAAGTGAGAAGTCCCATAAGAGACATCACAGTTCCTATGGACCAATGGTGGTATTAGTCTGTCACTTCTCCTGTGCACACAGTGTGTATTGAGGGCTCTTTATTCATAGAATTATGAATCCATCCTTTTCTTTCCCTCTCTGTTGTCATGCTGCCAAAGTAGGACCTATGGGTCAATTCTGCCTCACCCTTTGTTTCTGTGCTGTTTCCAGGCTAAAGTAATTTTTACATTCTTTTAATTGTTTCGATAAGACTGAGGATTGAATTCAGCTTTGTGCTTGCTAGTACACCTTCAATTCGTTTGCTGTCTTAGTTTGTGGGATTACAAATTAGTTCCATTGTGCCCATTTTAAAAACATGGTTTTTAAAATTTCAAAAGAAGAATGATGGTTCAAGACATGAAAACTTTATGAAAGTCAAATTTGGGGACTTACCATAAATAAAGTTTTATTGGAATCCAGCCATGCCTACTTGCTTGTGTATTAGCTGTGACTACTATTGTGCTACAGTGATGACTGAAGTCACTGCAGCAAAGTTCTTATGGACTGAAGAGCTTGATCATGCTTACTACCTGGCTCTTTACAGAGACAGATTGCACAATTGCTTTTCTTTGGAGGATACCATAGCTCTAGCATGGGGCTGAGTGTGGTGGTCTATATCTGTAATCCCAGATACTTAGGAGGCAATGATAGGAAAATAGTGGTTTTGCGTCAGCAGACAGAAGAGTGAAAAAAATGCGGCATGGCTCAAATGGCAGATCTTGCTTGCCTAGCAAGCATGAAACCCTGAGTTCAAATCCTAGTGCCATCAAATAATAATGATGATGATGATTATAATAATAATTGTTGGATTTACAAGGAATTTGCAAATTTGTTTTATTCTAAGAACTATCCTTGAATGAAAACCAACCAACTATCCAGTGAACTAGTTAAGATTCACCCATGCAGTCAACTAATCAAGATTTACCCATGCATGTCTTCCACATAAAGGCCACCTTATCTCAACACATGCACAGGATATGAAACTTTGCCTTTATGGGTTTTGAAAAAAATGATTCTTCTGATCGTCATAGGGGTCTTTGTTCCTTAAAGAGTTTATATTTAGAATGACTTAAATAGGTAAGAATGTTTATTTGCAAATGACTAGCTACTTCCAATTTCCATGTTGACTTACCCATTCTAGACTTACATAGAGAAAGCAGAGAAAGAGTTACTGCTTCATGAGGAAGTAGAAGCTTTGGGAACTGAAGTATCTGCTTTAGCTCCCATATCCAGCAAAGCCTAGGGATCCTGAAAGCATAAGGAGCCTGAATTCCTGAATCTCAGCCAGAGACCTTTCCAAAAGAGCAAGAGACTGTCCCCTGGTGCTATTGAGAGAAGTCACTTAGTCTCCACGTCAACATTCTTATCTATAAATTTACCTTGAATTTAGTTCAATGTTCTCTTTCTATATATAGCATTATAGAATTCATTGAAGTCAAGAAATTTATAGCTGAAATTTGACTTCTTTCCCATGAAACATTCATTAGAAACAAAGATTTACGCCAATCATAACAGAAAGTCCGAGCACCTTAGGTAAGTGTGAGTGAGAGTGGTTTGGTTAGAATAAATGGATCTGCAACTAGTCTTGTAGGAATTGCTGCAATTCCGTGTATACATAGGCTAGTGAGGCAGAATTAAGTCTACACTCAGACATGGTCAGGAGCACTGTCCATGAGAACAGGTACTGTACACAGGTACCTAACACACAAAGGCGAGATTCATCATACTTTAGCTTGAGTTTGGCAAGGGGTCAGTTTAGTACTTTACTGTGCTCTTGACTTACCTAATACTATCTCCAGTAGACATCCTGGAAGGATACTGCTAAATGCTTTCACTTCCCTACATTCCTTGACAACCACACAGTTTGGAGAGGCAGTGTCATGCATAATTCATAGGTTTTATATCTGGACAGACTGGATCAAATTTCCAAGCTTGAGAGATCTGACCTTGGATTTCTTATTTAATTTGTCTTTCAATTTTAGTTCTACCAGCATCCTCTTCCTTACTCTTGCCAATCAATATTAAGGTATCTATTGTAGTAGACATCTTTCTAAGTCCATCATCTGTATTAACTCATTGAGGATTCGTAACAAACTTCATGATAGAGAATTATTACAGTCACCAATTTCTATGGGGAATTTACAAGATGCAGAGAAACCAACTAATTCTGAAGTCATATGTCTCCATAAGTGATACATCTAATTTTTATGCTCAGGAATAACTTGTATACTTGACAATCTCTGCTTGGTAGTTCCTCTTACTATCAGATTTATCAGTCAGGATAAGCACTGCTGCTGTAACAAGCATGCCCACACCTTAGTGGTATAAAGGCACTAGTTAAGTTGGATACTTAACTAGTCAAGTTTCACTACACGTCTTGGCTAGAGGCTCTAATCAGTCATGTTCTGGTTCTAAGACCTGATTGAGAAAGTGGCTACTGTTTGGAGAGTTGGCATTTATTAGGGCAGAGTGAAAGAGACTTCTAGGGCAGGGTTTTCCAACCTTGACTCAATTTGCACTTTAAGATGAATAATTTGAGGTAGGGGCTTATCCCGACCATATTCAGCAGTGTCCCTGGCTTCTACCCAGTAGGTGCTAGTCGCACCTTCTCCTGGGGTGACAAGCTAGAACTGGCAAATGTCCTGTGGGTGGCAACATTATCTAAGATCTCAGACTTTAGACTAAGATCTCAGACTTACAATAAAATTATCTGCCCTGCAGTAATATGTCTCCACTACAAGCAAGTCAGAACATGGGTGTTAAGGAGAAACTTGCGGGGGAGAGAAATGGTGAATGGTGTAAATGATCACATCAGAGGAAAACAGTACTACCTATTTTAATGATTGCTAAGCAGATTGACACATGAAGATCAAGTGTCTTAGTCCACGTTTTCATATCTTCCCTGATGGCTTTCATACTACACTGGCAAAGCTGAATCCTTACAACAGAGACTGTATGGCTGGAAGATCCTGTTTATTCACTTTTTGACACTTGCAGCAAAAGTTTGCCAATTTCTTGGAATGTTTATTTTAAAAACAAGACCTTGAACCAGGCTCTGGTGGCTCACACTTGTAATCCTAGCACCCAGAAGCTGAGATCTGAGAATCAAGACTCAAAGAGAGCTGGGGCAGCAAAGTGTATGTGATTCTTATCTCCAACTAATCAGCATAAAAGGCAGGAAGTGGAGCTCAAAGAGGTAGGGTGGCCAGCCTTGAGCTAAAAAGCAAAAGGACAATGCCCAGGCTCTCAACTCAACCTCCAGAATCAGCACACACACACAACACAACACACCTTGGGCTGAGCAAAACTGGACGGTCATGCGCAAAAGTGTACTTCTACCCTCATTTGGTAGGATGCAACATGTACTAATAGCATCTTGCTCATAAAACACTTCAGAGTAGCAGTGACATCAATGAGGACTGACTTCTATTTGCCTCTGACCTCTCCTCCTCCGAACTGTGACAGAATTTACAGATCTACCCACTTGTAAAACCCACACCCTTGCAATTCCATTTTTAAACTGAAAATAAAACAAAACAAAATCCTTCTTTCTGTCCTTTATTGCTCATACTAGGATGGTATGCTCAGATCTTGAGTGTACAATGTAAGAATTGTCACAAGTGGCACTCACCTAACAGTGACCACTTGCTTCCCAAGGTGCCCTACCAATTCCAACTTGTTTGGGGAAATTTTCAAACATACACAAAGTAAAATAGTAAAATTAACACCATTTTATATTTCATTAGTCTAAAAAATTGTATGTTTAGCCTAGTACTGGTGGCTCACACCTGAAATCCTAGCTATTCAGGAGGCTGACATCCAGAGGACTGTGGTTCAAGGCCATCCCAGACAGAAAAGTTAATTAGCCCTCATTTCCAAAATAACCAGTAAAAAGCTAGTTTGGATGTGTGGCTCAAGTGGTAGAGCCCCCACCTAGCAAACACTATAGCCTAAATTCAATCCTCAGTACCACCAATCAATTAATCAAACATAATAATAATAATAATAGACAAAATAGTATTTTACCATTTATGTTCCATAGACTGCCCATCTCTGTTTCCCTTTCTCACCCTTCTATCTGTCTTCCTTTATGCCTAGTTGAAATGGATGGATCTATTTATCAATCCTCTATCTCCCTACAGTAACTAGAACTACTAAAATATCCATTAGATGAAGATACTCATTTGTCCAAGCCGTCACCTCTATCTTCTGATTTATAAAGTAGGAATAACAGTAAGATCTATGTGTGGAGGATTGAGTGAGCAGATATATCTGAATAGAAACAAGTAGTAAACATTCAGTTAACAGTAGCTATCATCATCAATACCATAGAATTATAAGGAACTAATTAGCAAGATTGTCACTGGCCTCCTCTCTTCCTAGGTCTATGCTGTGGTGGTAATTGCTTCTGTGGTTGGATTTTGTCTGCTGGTGATGCTGTTTTTGCTTAAGTTGGCAAGACACTCCAAGTTTGGCATGAAAGGTAAGAAGGGTTGTGTTTATTTTACTTCTTATGTGGAATCATTTTTGGCTTATGACTAATGTTAATTACCACTAAAGAAGGAAGTGGCTAGACGGATGATGACGAGGCTTAGGGCTGAAAAAATAGCAACAAGGATATGATAGTTCAAATCAAGACAGAGCAAACCAAGACAGTGCTCAGCACTGCCACCTGCCCATGAAGACAGCTGGCCCAGAGGACACAGGCCTGTTTTCTTGAGTATCAAGTAGCTAATCATGAAGGAGGCAGAGATACAGTACAACATTGCTCCTATAGCTTTGATGATGGCAGGTGAGGCACAGTGACACAGGATACCTGGAATTCATACACCTTGTTCAAGAAGGTTCTTTCTGCTATGTATATCATTTCTGAATCTTCAGCAGTATGTTTTATCCTGCTATTGCTTTTCCAGATTCTTATTGTTCTGAAATGTAAGCCACCAGAAACAAAATAAGAGCAGCCACTGGTGGTATATTGGAACATTTGGGTATTACTGGTCTTTATTTTTTTATGTGGAAATATTCTCAGTGTATTAACACTATATTTTGGTTATATTGCCAAGAATGGTAATTGTATTTTTTAGGCCAAAAAATTAATAGAGGAAAAGGAGCTTGTATACTTCTTGTTTAAAAAGTAAGTTTTGATGATTTTAAAATAAATGATCAAAAGTTTGATGTCTAGTTTTAGCTAATGCATTATGTTGTATTTCATGTGGTCTGTAATAGCTAGATACTTGTAAGTGCCTAAAGGGGAAAGTTATAAAGGAGGATTAGTTGTTTCTTGGTTGTGTTGGGGAGCAATGTGGTGGGTTTTTATCCATGTGGTCTCTCTGAGTTGTTAACCTTGCTTGTGTACTTGGAACAGAATGGTTAAGTAGCAGGATGTTGCTGGTTATACCATGGATTTGAGTGAATGAGATCTGTTACTAGTGACCAAGGTTCTCAAATCATAAATGAAGGGGAATGTGGTAGTAGTTAGCTTAGACATTAAACAGAAGAAAAACATTGAAATCTCACCTTGACTCTCTTTAACCTGCGGGTTCCTGGCACTTTCTTAGGAGAAGGGAAAATCTTTTCATTCTCTGATTACTAATAAGAACTGGGAGAGGGCCTGCCCTGCAATGATTTCATTAATTGTACACATGCTTCTCAAGCTTGCCTTGATGCAGACGTGCTTGCTAGATGTGTAGAAGCATGGATTAAAGGGGAATCCAGAAGTCTGACTTAGGTCTGTGTGCACCTGAGAGCTGGCATTTCTACCTTTCCAGGTGATGTGGATGCTGTTTTTGCACAAGCATTTTTACAGTATTTTTTTAGAATGGCAATTCCATGTCATAAACATGGCTATCAGATATCTCTCTGTGCGTATGACTGGTGTGGAGTTGACATAGAAGCCATACTCACCCATTACTCCCCAGACTTTGTGGGGTTATCCAGGTTGAACTAGACAACAGTTCTCATCAGGCTGACTCACTGCTATGACAATTTATTAAGTGTTTTCTTTCCTGAGAAACCCCTGGAAGGTGCTCCTTTAACTAAAGAGTACCAGATTCTAGCAGTGTATAATTTTCTTTCTTGAGGGATTTAGTTTGGGATCTTTCATTTCCTGGGATTTTCAGAGAGAGGACAATTTCTAGGTTCTTCTGAGAGCTCATTTAACACTTTGTGAATCCTTGGAGCAAAATTTAGGAGCATTCTTCATGCTTGACTTAGGAATGGCACTGACAAAAGAATTATCTGTAAATGTCAACTTACTTCTCTTATGGGCTGTGATAGAAGAGGGAAGAATGGTAGAGATTTTGTTTCAGATTTTGTTTCATTAAATTATGTTTATATATTTTGTCTCAGAGACTTGTGTGCTAGTTTAGAATAGCTCTTTTTCTTCTATGTCAGTCTGTGGCATAATATGACCAAATTGAGCCTGGTCTGACATTATTTTGCAAGTCAGATGCTACTTGACCATCTTTGGACAGCTAGAAATTAAGATGTAGCTTATGCATTGAGCACAAGTGAAAACTGCATAGAAAAGGTGTTTAAAAATTAATGTAAGTTAATGTAGTTTAACTGTTATTAAAGCAAGGATTAGTGTGGAAAAAAACCTATGTCCTAAAAGGGGAAGAGTAAGTGAAAACACTACTTCCTGAAATAACTTGGCAATCTATCAGTCATGATTTCTGTGTAGCATAGTAAACTATGCGTAGCCTGGGCCAACAGCTGATGTACTGATGAGCTACTTACTCCAAATGAAATTCTTGCCCTCAGAAGCATCTTTGATGAGGTTATAACCCATTATAGCCTCTTATCATGAAAACAAATGGAGACAAAAGATGGCTGCCAGCCTACCCACAGGTGCTCATGGCTTTTACTCACTCATTCTTTGCTGTATCAGTTAGTTTTCCACAGCTACAATGAAATGCCAGAAGCTGATGCATTATATATGAAAAAGAGGTTCATTTATTTCACAGCCTTTGGAGGCAGCACGTCTAAATAGACTAGTTCAACCTCTGTGATGGTCCTAGTTTTTTTCACATCCTTATGGGAGCTTTGTAACATGAAGGGCTCAGAAGGAGGAAAAGGGAGAGATGCAGAGAGAGAGATGGAGAGAGGGGGGGAGGGGGAGGGACGGAGGGAGAGAGAGAGAGATTAGGCCCTGTTAAACGTGGAGCTAGAAAGCAGTCTTTCTTCTTTAAAAAATTATTATCTATTTAGCCGGGCATTAAAGATAAGGCTCATGCCTGTAATCCTAGCTACTCAAGAGGCTGAGATCTGAGGATCATGGTTCAAAGCCAGCCCAGGCAGGAAAGTCCGTGAAACTCTTATCTCCAATAAACCACCAGAAAACTGGAAGTGGCGCTGTGGCTCAAGCGGTAGAGTGCTCACCTTGAGCTGAAGAGCTGAGGGTCAGTGCCCAAGCCCAGAGGTCAACCTCCACGACTGACAAAAATACAAATAAAATAAATAAATAAATATTATCTTTAAATAGTTGTACAAAGGGGTTTCAATTCAACATGTCAGTTTGTGAGTACAATGCATCTTGAATGATGTCACCCCTTCCATCATTCACCACATCCCTTCCAATCCCACTCATCCCTTCAATTTACCTGGTTCCATTCTCTATTTCTTGTGTGTATGTGTGTGTGTGTGTGTGTGTGTGTGTGTGTGTGTGTGTGTGTGTGTGTGTGTGTGTATGTGTGTGTGTCCTGGGGTTTGAACTCAGGGCCTGGGTGCTGTCCTTGAGCTGTTTTGTTCAAGAATAGCAATCTACCCCTTGAGTCACAACTCCATGTCTGGCTTTTTGGTAGGTAACTGGAGACAAACAGTCTCGTTGACTTTCCTGGCTGGGCTGGCTTCTAAAATTGTGATCCTTAAATCTTAGTCCCCTCAGTAGTTAGAGTTATAGGCATGAGCCACCAGCACCTGGCCCTGGTACCATTTTCATATCTGGACATTGAATATAATGACAACATTCACCCACCCTTCCCCTCTCTGTTCTCCTTGCCCTTTTCTTTTTTTTTTTTTGTCGGTCGTGGGGCTTGAACTCTGGGCCTGGGCGCTGTCCCTCAGCTCTTCAGCTCAAGGCGAGCGCTCTACCACTTGAGCCACAGCGCCACTTCCGGTTTTCTAGTGGTTTATTGGAGATAGGAGTCTCATGGTCTTTTCTGCCCGGGCTGGCTTTGAACCGCGATTCTCAGATCTCAGCCACCTGAGTAGCTAGGATTACAGGCGTGAGCCACCGGCGCCGGGCCTCTCCTTGCCCTTTTCTAACAACTATTTTACCTTTGCAGGAACTAACTCACTTTGAGGGCCAGTATCCATTCCTTCTAAGGGCAGCAGCCCAGTGAGTTAACCACTTTCCCCTAAGCTCCACCTCTTAAAGGTTCTATGCCACCTCTCAATCTTACCACATTGGAGGCCCAGCTTCAACATAGCAGTGTTTGGGGAGCAAGCCACATCCAAAGCACATGTTAGCATCGCATGATTTATCATGAGTGTCAATGATTTCATTTGGTGATACACACCTTGAGATTTTAAACCACAGTTAATTCTATTGATTTGAAGGGCCTCAGGTAACACAAACAGAAACCTCTTAAGATCACAATGCAGCTGAATGCAGGGAAACTCAACCATTGTGGGTTGATGAAGACCCAAGCATTATTTATAAATGATGATGTTATCGTAGGTAGGTGAACTCTATATTCCAAACCCAAGAGTTAAATCTGGATTTGAGATTAGAAGCTGTGGTGTGGGCTTTGGAGATGGGTCCACAGGGCTGTGAGTTTACTGAAACATATCATTTGTTGGAATGCTGATGGTGCAGCCCAGTCCAGGTAACACAGACTGTGATCTCCATGGAGACAGCATTCAAGTTTGTCCATCTTTATTTACCCAGAGCCTAGACCCAAGTTCACACTCAATAAATATTAATGGACTGATTGATTCTAGAGAATGTGTAGCTTCATTCAGTTTATTAATGGACACAATTAATACTGTGAAAGGTTAAAAGAGAGTCCCTGGGACTTTTCCAGCTTTCTAAAGGAGACAGCCTCCCTCCCCCACCATCTTTTGCTTTAAATTTCTCCTAACTTAAGATAATGGCTATGGCTAAGAGATTATCTGATGCATTGTTCAAAACAGTGTGAGACAATTTATGCACTAGGGGTAATTTTGAGCATTTGGTGTTCAAATTTTGGGGGTTCCCTTGGTCTTCCATTTTGTGTAATTATTTATTTATTTTAACCTCTGACCTTGAATGTGGTTTTGTCCAGGTTTGAAGCTGGCAGAAGTGCCAGATGGTGGCTTGTATCCTGCTGTGAACTCAGATTTATCTTTCACTGTTGCTCGCTATAGGTTGTGCTTCTTGTTGTGCACGCCCAGTAGGTTACTGTTTCTTTTTTCAATAAAGATATCAAGGGGTAGATCTATGCCTCTCCATTTCTTCTTGTTCAATTCTGTACCTTTGCCCTGTTTGGCTTTCAGTTGGAT